GCATTCTTTTATAAAAAAAATATAAATAATCTCAACGTCACTCTTATTACTCCTAAATAAAAAAATTATGAGTTAATTATGATAATTTTAAATTTGTTTTTTAAACTTTTAAATCATGGGATAGATCATTATAATTTTAAATTTATATTGTGTCAATTTTAAATTTAAATTAGTAGATTACTTTCCTTATTTAGTGACTCTTAAATTTGAATTTTGAAATGGATTAGTATTGTAAGGCCCTGGTGTCCCACATCGGGAATGGAGGGGGAGTTCTTGGGCTATAAAAGTAAAAACCTGGACCCTTATATAGCATCGAGGCCTTTTTCCAAGTGGTGAAATCCCTATTAGAACTCCCCAGTTAAGCGTGCTTAGGCTGGAGTAGTTCTAGGATGGGTGACCCACTGGGAAGAACAAATCCGTGCGGGCGTGGCCCAAAGCGGACAATATCGATGACGTGTAAAGGGTCGGGGCGTTACATTGAAAGTTCAAGTACTTCCTTGGAGTAAAAATAATGACAAAACAAACAAAAAAAAATAAGAAAAAGAATAAGAATATGATGATGTAAATAATTGGATGAACAATCAAATACAAGTAAAGTACATTAAAATTACTCTTATCTGAGTTTAAACTACTCCTATGTAGATTAGATCTACTCTTAGGATAGAAAAAAAATGAAAATCAAGTCATGTATTGATTTGTTGGTCCCCCTTACAATAGAGCCATCAATGGCAATTTATACAAAAAAAAATGTAGGAAAAAACTTCTATTAACCATGATCTAACCACTCATATAACTTCCACCTTCTTACGTTGTCACTTGTCTTCCATTTCTTGAATCTTCAAAACTTGACTTAACTTCTCTTAACTTTTAAGATTTTCCTGCATAATCATAATAATAATAACAATAATAATAATATGTAATAGAAAGTTTAAACCTAATTATAATTGATAGAAATTTTATTTACGGTGCAAACAGGACCAAAATGATACAAGTCCCAAATTACAAGAACCGTTAGTGTAATTCGCCCTTATTTATTTTTTTGAGACTAATTCGATCAATAAAAAAGACTATAATTATCAATCGGCCTAATTTTTTTTTATAAATAATAAATACAAAGAGTCTTACAAAATAAATAATTCAATTCATTGAAATGAGATTTGTGATGAACCCACGGGCCCAAACTTAAACGCCAGGGGCCCACAATCGCCTATATAGTAATAAAATTACCTAAATTATTAATTGAAATAAATTTCTAATATCATTAAAAACTGTTAATTGACTTGATGATTCATTAATAAAATAAATAATTTGTTATGAAATTAGAAACTTCAAAGGGCAAGATAAAATTTTTAAAATCACATGAGGCAATTCGTATAAGCAAACCTCAATGGGTGTATTTCTAATTTGCCGCAAAAAAATCAAATACCAAAAAATACAAAAATCAGTACATTTTCATTTTTGTTTGTATATTATTTATACATTTTTTCAAAAATATTTTGCTTTTTAAAGTACATCTAGATTAGGGGAATGCATAAAAAAACCATATAAAAAAAGTTTTTTTACTAAAAATAAAAAATCACAAAGAATAACAAACTTTAAAATAAATTTTCAATAGGTTAGGAATCCTAAAAAACTATTATGCCCTCTGTCACAAAATATTAATTTCTTATTTTATTTTTTATTGTCTCAAAATATTAATTTTTTTTCAAAAATTAAATATAAAAATAATATAAATTTTATATTTTATCTTTCTTTTAAATTCATTAACAACATAAAAAGTACAATTATACTTTTGATATTTTCCAAAAAATGTACTATCAAAAGATAATTTTGAAAAATTAATTTTTTTATAGTGCAATAATTGTACTACAACAAAAAATAAAATAAATTCTCCAAAAGGAATTATTATTTTAGGACGGAGGGACTATGAATTTCACACAAAGATGGAAGGTTAGGATCACTTTAAAAATGTAGGAGTCATTCCCAAAGAATGTTCCAAACATTTTCTCTCCACATACCTAAATTTTATCCTAAAATATTATTAAAAAATTCATTCCCAATTTTAGAAATCACTTTTTTATCTACTTCTGTCAACAAACTTTCTATTTTTTCTCCATTCTATTAAAATAAAATTTTTAATTACTTTTAAATTTTAATTTTTTTTAATAACAAAATAACAAAAACACATGCCAACCAAACACCAGAAAGCAGAAGCAAAGCAACAGAGGAAAACAAAGAAGGGTGGTCGACTAGCTAGTCAATTGGGTGGACGATCTGGCAATCGACCGGTCAAACCAATTTTAAGCATTTTTCTTCTTCAGTTACAGGGCACTCATTGGACATCTAGAGAAACATTCAGGAGGACATTCCCTGTGTATATTCAATGAAATAAAATAATAATTTATGAGTTATGAGGGAGTCACAGTAACTCCCTATAAATAAAGAGTTACAATAACAACACTTATATTTGGGAGGTTAGATAAGGGATTTGCTGCAAAAAGATTTCTGAAGAATTAATCCCTTATAATAGCAAAAAACTATTATAAGAGAGCTGCTGCGGATGCTCTTACTCCGTTAATTAGTACAAATTATTTTGTAGGGCCTTGTCTAGATTATTTGTGAAATTTTATATTTTTAAATATTAATATTTTAATGAGAGATTCTAATATTTTATTTTATTTGAGATAGTAATTTAATAGTGAGATTTTTAGATGACCACTTAACTTATTCTTTTATATTTATTTTATTTTGATCTCATTATTATTAATATTTGATTCATAAAATAAATAAGTATGTTTGGTTTTAGTTTTTTGAAAACTGAATTTTAAGTTTTTCGTGTTTTTTTTTCAATGAATATTTTTGAAATTTTAAGTTTTTTTTTTTTTTACTTTTTTAGATACACTTTATTTAGATGTATCTAAAAAGTAAAATATTTGTGAAAAAAATATTTTAAAAAAATTAATAAATCTACAAAAATATGAAAAATATACTAAAATTTTCATATTTTTTTGTATTTTTGGTATTTAGTGAATTTTTTTTAAAAAAAAAATTCCCGAAAATTATATTTTTTAAGTATATTTATATTAGTTATGTCTAAAATTTTAAAAAATTACTTAAAATCTTAAAAAAATGAATAAATTACAAACACACCTCCTGATGTTTACTTAAATTACAAATTATCCCTTGTGGTTCTAGAAATTGCATTATGCCCGTAAGGTTTCTAATTTCATAATAAATAGGTATTTTTATTAAAAAATCATCAAGTTAATTAACAGTATTTAATAATATTAAAATTTTATTTCAATTAATAATTTACATAATTTTATTATTGTGTGGATGAATAGTTAGAAGTTTTACTTTTCAATTAATTTTGTTAAATAAAAAATTCTGACAGAGAAGTATTTATAATTTTTCAAACTACAGGAGCAGTTCGTATTTTAAACAAATCTTAGGAAGTGTATTTGTAACTTACCCTAAAAATTTTTAGTAAAAGCACAAAAAAATATGAAAAATAAAAAAATAAAATTTCTTTAAAAATATTTTTAAAAAACTGAAAACAAACCTAGTAAATGTTTTCTTATTTATAATCTTCACTCCCGTTTACTAAGCAAAAATAAAATATTAGAAACGTAGGCAGCAAGCCCACCGCCGTGACCGTCATGTCCATGAATCTCCCTTCGTCATTTTCTTTGGTCCCAAGTCGACTACCCCATAAATTGAGCAATTACTCTTCTTCCATTCATCATTTTTGCTTCGGCTTCGGCTCAATATCTCTCTTTATCTCTCTCCTCTTCCCCTTCTTTTGATTTCCTCTGTTCGGCTCTCCCCCCTCTCATACAAATTGTTTTGTTACCAAAATTTTAAATTTATATTGTGATTATTTAGAGTGAAAGTTAATAATTTTACAAAAGAGGAAAATTGTAAATTTTATATACATTTTATCTTAGAATTTCGATCCGCTTATTTGGAGATCCATAGCAAAGTAGCAAACTATCAAAGTGTTGGCGACAGAAGAATTATTTTGAGGTAATTCAAATAATATGCACTATATTTCATCTAAATCTCTTTGCAAAAAAATTTATTTCAATTACCTATTATTCTAGTCATTTGGTAAATTCTATAAAATTATTCCATGTTAATACGTTTGATTATTCTGATCATTTGATAAATTCTTATAAAGTTATTATGCGTTGACATTGTTAATTTGTCTGACTAAATGACGTAAAAATGCTCCATACATAAATCGCGTAGACTTTGCCAATAACTTGCCCCAATATACCCAGCTAAGCGGTTGTGTTTGGGTGAGGTACAGTGATGTAGGTGAGACCGATTACTAATCATGTACTGAGTAGAACCAAAACCAAATACCCAGCCTATAACCGGGCCCTACTTAATACATTAAAAAATAACAAAAGAATTAGATATGTGAAAATAACAAAATTATTTTTTTAATTCTATAGTTTTCATTAATTAAAATAACAAAAGAAATCACAACATATCTAATTTCCTGCATTAAAAAAAAAGGCAAAATGAAAGTGATTTAAACCTCTGCAATACCAATATTAACTAATACTCTCTCTCTCTCTCTCCATTGTTTCATAAGACGGGGATCTAGAAAGTGTACCCAAAGCAATGGCAAGTGACAAGAAGCCTCATGCAGTGTGCATACCATTCCCAATACAAAGCCACATGAAAGGAATGCTAAAACTAGCAAAGCTCCTCCACCATAGGGGATTTTACATCACCTTTGTCAACACAGAGTTCAACCAAAACCGCCTCACCAAAGCCAGAGGACCTGACTCTTCCTATGAATTCCCCAACTTCCAATTCAAAACAATCCCAGATAGCCTCCCACCATCCGACGACAACGCCACCCAAGACACAACTGCTCTTGTTGGATCAGTCAGAAGGAACTTCTTGACACCATTTCGCAACCTCCTTGCCCAACTCAACGAGGACAACTACAATGCCACCACACCAGCTGTCACTTGCATCGTCTCTGATGGTGTAATGCCATTCACCATTACAGCAGCTCATGAACTCCAAATCCCCATTGCTATGTTCTGGACCTTTTCTGCTTGTAGCTTCATGGGCTTTTATCAGTGTCGTGCTCTCTTGGACAAAGGTCTTGTACCACTCAAAGGTATGTCTTACATAATTTAATTATATGAAAAGGATTGGTAATACAAATCGATCACAAAACAGACAAGTGTAGGAAAATTACAATAAACTCTACACTTTTAACTAATTACACCGACTTTCCTTTTAGTAAAGGTAAAGGGACTGCAACTAATTCAACTAATGTGAAGACACAAAAACAAACAAGGTAAAATATACATCTTCGTATAAAAAAGATGAAAACATCATATTTCCACCCACATGACTAACAAATAACTGATGAAAAGGGCTAAATTTATGTGAATTAAAACTTAAAAGAGGTCAATGTAATTCTAAAATTTATTGTATTTCTTCAAATTTGGGGGAGGTCAATATAAATTATTATACATGTCTCTGTGTATAGCAAAGAAGAAAATGAGAAAATAAGAAAAACAAAAAGCAGGCCTGTTTGGTTTTTACTACCCTTTTTTTTTCCTCCATCTTTTTGAAAGCAAAACATGAAATGCCTGTTTGGCAACGTTTACATGTACCCCAAAAAAAAATTTGTTTATATTTACAAAAAATTTAATATTGTCACCAAAAAACTTCTTTGATATTTATTTTTGTATTAGCAAATTTATAAACCTTTTACAAAATTTATTAAACTCTTATAACTACAAAAATAAATAAATCTCATATTTATATTTTTGTTACTATTTATGCTATGCAGATGAAAGCTATCTAACAAACGGGTACTTAGACACCATAATAGATTGGATTCCAGGAATGAAAGATATTCGTCTAAAAGACCTTCCCTACCGAACTACTAATCCAAATGATGAAATGCTTGACTTTGCCATGGAAGCAGTAGAGGGTGCTTCGCAAGCTTCAGCATTTGGTCTTCATACTTTTGATGCGTTGGAACAAGATCTTTTGGACGCTCTCTCATCTATGTTTCCCTATGTTTACACCATTGGTCCTTTACAGTTACTTCTAAACCAACAAGTATCACCAAACGTGGAGTCTCTTGGATACAGTTTGTGGAAAGAAGAGCCAGAGTGTATCCAATGGCTTGATTCCAAAGAACCTGGCTCTGTTGTTTATGTCAATTTTGGAAGTATAACAGTCATGTCACCACAACAATTGGTAGAGTTTGCTTGGGGACTTGCCAATACCAAGCACTACTTCCTGTGGGTAATTAGGCCTGATCTGGTAATTGGAGACTCAGCCATTTTACCTTCAAAATTCGAGGCAGACACTAAAGAAAGGGGACTGATAGCAGGGTGGTGCCCGCAAGAGGAAGTCCTGAACCACCCATCAGTTGGAGTGTTTTTAACACACAGCGGATGGAACTCAACTATTGAGAGCTTGACGGCAGGGGTGCCCATGATGTGTTGGCCATTTGGTGGAGATCAGGTGACAAATTGTAGGTACACTTGCACTGAATGGGAGGTTGGCATGGAGATTGATAATAATGTGAAAAGAGATCAAGTAGAGAAGCTGATTAGAGATATCATGGAAGGAGAGAAGGGGGAGAAAATGAAGAACAAGGCTATGGAGTGGAAGAATTTAGCAGAAAAGGCTACTGGACCAGATGGGTCATCCACTTTGAATTTGGACAAACTAGTGAATGTATTACTATCGAGAAACTAAGATATGTTAGATAGGATTGTTTTGGTATTTGGGATTGGGTTTTGGTTTGAGTTTGGAAAATAATTTTGTGTAATAAATTTCATTTTGTGTAATGATTTTGTTTAGATTATGTGGTTGAAGTAATAAACACTTATTCATTTTTGCTTTTGATATATGCAAGGACTTGACAGATTTCTTATATGGCAATTCAAGATCATATCTCCATGTGTTGTAATAATCATAATTGAAATTTGAATGAAATTGATGATAGAAAAACTAAAGAAAACAAAAAATTGGGATTCTTCTATTGATGAAGTTGCAGAGAAATTAAGATAGTGTTTTTGTTGATTGGAATGACGCGAAATGGAATAAAATGGTCATTTCTTAACATTTAGAAAAAGTCTTAAAACTAGACACATCTCTCTCAGATGAACCTAAACGAAAAAAATTCTCTGGCAGTCATGGTCAATGATCCCACTTCAGAATTGTGATGCTAAACTAATTTGTGATGCTTTGGGGAAAGTCAGATGAAGATTTATCAGAGCTAGGTGTTGTGGTGAATGACCTACTGTAAATTATGTCCAAAAAAAAAAGAAGTAAATTACACTAGCATCCCTTAAATTATTCTGAAACAAAACTGCCATCCCTTGATATTCTCTAAAATATCACCATCCTCTCTTACTTTATAAATTATTGTAACAATTTGATCCATTGGTTAGTCAATTGTCTATTAACCTAACAGAAGTTGGCACTTCACCAACAACTTTTCCTTGATGTCCACTTCTATCTTGTTACACTATTCAAATCCCTCTAAATTCCATCCATCTTCACTTCACCATTAAAGTCACCACCAATTCACCTGAGCCCAATCTCTACCAGAGACACAATTCTGCCGTAATTTTCAGCCAAAATCATTAGGCAAATACATGTTTTGATTAAAAAGTCAAAAAATCACTATAAGTTATCACATCTTCTCTATTTTTCTGCACACATTTTTGTAAAAAGCCAAAAATTACTAAAATAACTTATTCCCAAACAAGGCTCAAACCCACAAAAAATTCCCAAAATCTTTTTCTTTTTTTTTTTCCCTCCTGGTTCAGCTTGATATATGTGCATAAATAATCAAATTCAGAGCTTAAAACTGTGTAGTGAAAGTAACCTTATGAATTAGAATCCATAATCATTCAAAGCAAAGGTATCAACCATATTTTCAAACAAAAAAAAAAAAAAAAAACAAGAAGCGTAAACTTACTAGTGTGTTTCAGATTTCAATTCAATACAGTACAATGCTATAGAACTTAACATAACATATAGCTAGAGAACGTACAAGTAGAATAGAAGGGGATGGGCAACCCTATAGATAGGATAGAACTTTGCTAATTATGTGGAACTTCAGCAAGCTATTGTTGGGTTTGGGACCCTTTGTCTGCAAATCATCATATCGTCCACACAACAAAACAAGAGTCTTTTTGCATGGTCTTCGTCGTCCCCAAATTCACTCTCTGAAACCCTAGATTCAGCTCTTTCTGTCCCTGTCTGTCTCTCTCATCGATTGGTAACCCAAAAAAGAGAGTGGGTGCAATGAGTAAGGGGTCCAACCCAATTTCAGTGTATATATATATATGTACTAGTTGTTAGCACACACGATGTGTGTGTAATTTAAATAAATAGGAATAAAAAAAAATAATAATGAAATCAATATTATAATGTGTACTTAGCTTAAGTGGTATGAGTCCTCGTACTTAAATTCATGGTCATGTGTTCAAGCCTTGCCCATCTCTTTGGAGTAAAGCTTCAGGACACCAGAAATTGTGTTCACTTTATAATAGTACTAGTGGGTGGCACACACGATGTGTGTGCAATTTAAATAAGTAGGAATAAAAACAAATAATAATGAAACTATTATAATGTGTACTTAGCTTAAGTGGTATGAGTCCTCGTACTTAAACCCATGGTCATGGGTTCAAGCCTTGCCCATCTCTTTGTTTAACTTTTTTTTAAAAAATAAAAAATACTGCCACATGGCATGAGGAGAGTAAAGCTTCAGGACACCATAAAAGGTGTTCACTTTATAATAGTATAGATAGATAGATAGATAGATAGATATTTAATTACAAATACATTCTTGAGATTTGATTAAAATATGAATCATCCTTTGTAATTTTAAAAATTACATTCTACTCTTGAAGATTCTAATTTCATAACAAATCGTCCATTTTATTAATAAATCATCAAATTAATTAACAGTTTTTAATGATGTTAGAAATATGTTTCAATTAATAATTTAGGTAATTTTATTATTGTATAGGAAACCAATTATGAATTTTATTTTTTTAGTTAATTCTGTTAAATAAAAAATACTAATAATAAGGTATTTATAATTTTCCAAACCACATAGAATAATCTATACTATAAACAAATATCAGAAAGCGTATTTATAATTTACCTTATTTAATAAAATAAAATGACATCTAAAAAGTGTAACATGTGATGTAAATAGAAAAACCCTCTTCAAAGAGCAATATTGTGAGTGTTTGGGAAGTGACTTTTAGGTTTTTTGACTTTTTGACTATTTTAATAGGTTATTTTAGTTTTTGTGTTTGTGAAGTTGGGTTAAATTTTTAAGTTGATTATTGTATTGAAAAATGTGTTTGAAATGATATTTAAAGTTGAAATGACAAATTTGCCCCTAACCTTATTTTTTTCAAAATTGATTTATAGGGGTAAAATTGTCATTTACTTGTCTGAAGCCTACACTGTTGGTGACAGTGTAGGCTGCTTTGCGATGGATTTTTTATTTTTTTTAAAAAAATCAATGAGTTAGGTGAGACTAAAAGATTTTTTTGCCATTTGAGGTTAAAATAGCCTATTTCAAAAGTTTCCAAACACCGCCATTAGAGATTTTAAATATTTTATTAATATTTCTATTAAATGTCACACGCACTTGATGAATTAAAAAATTGCCTTAGTAAAAAAAAATTAAATTAATTCAAATACTTAAAAATCTATCAGATGAGTTTGAAAATTGACCTAAGCCAAAAAATAAAACTAACTTTTTAAAAGGAAAAATAAAACTAAATTAGATATTTAAAACTTTATCTATTATCCATCTTTTAATGATTACTCGAATACGTGCCTAAAAATTTTGTGTGTAGTGTATAAAGGTCACACCATCATCTCTCACAAAGGTTTCAACAATTTGATAATCGAGATTGATGCGGAGAAAGTTGTGAAACTTTTCGAAAATGGCCCTGAAGAGAAGCACCTTTTCAGAGTATTGGTGGAGAACTGCAGGATTATCTTCAATGGTTATCAATGCTCTATTCAAAATATTCTAGGGGGAAGGCAACTTGTGTGCATGCATTAGCCAGGTTTGGAACTGATCAACTTGAAGACATCCTTGTTGTAAATGATCCCCCAGCTAAAATCAAAGAGCTGCTGGTTTAGGACATGATGGGTAGAGTTACTAAAAGGGCTTAGCCCCTGTTTGAAACTTAGTTTTTATTCTGATGTACGGAGGAAAAAAAAAGTGCTAATTGTTGAAAAATCCAAACTAGGGAGGTTATAAGGTATTAGGTCTGTTGGATATTTTATATTGGTGAAAAGTCCATCATTTGTGAAATAGTTTGGTGAGCAATCATTTTGTTGGTTTTGAAGGACATTTTATTTTTAATTTATCCTTTAATTTATTTGTTGACTTTTTGTTAATTATTTGCTCAAATTTATTTCTATCTGTTCAAATTATTTTTTATCTGTTCAATTTTTTTCTTATCTGTTCAATTTTTTTACCCTATCTATTTAATTTTTTGATCTTTTCAATTCAAATTTCTTTTATTTGTTCAAATATATATCCAAATAAAATCTATCTTTTGAAATTTATATGTTCAAAAATTCTTATCTGTTGAATTTTTTTTTATTTGTTGAATTTTTGTATATATTAAACTCAGATTGAAAGCCCCTTCCTATCTGTTTGAAATTCACAAACTTGTTTTTCCAGATCTGAGCCTTGAACACAAATTTGAGCCCAATTCTCTTAAAAAAAAAAAGAAAAAAATGAAAAAATGAAAAAAATTAAAGCCTCTGTACAAATTGAAATCTACTCTCTTTCTATCAGTTAGTTTTAGATAACACATCCAAATATCTCTCTATCTTTTGATTTCAAAGAATACATGTGTTCAACAACACTCATACACACAAAAACATATATATATATATATTCAAAACTCAGATCTTTGTTTAAAAAAATATGTATAATCAAACAACTCCACCAAACACGCCTCTATCGCCTCCTAGAGTGCCGCAAGAGCGTTGATCTAAAGCCCTAGATTAGTATTGAACCTCAAATCGAGAGTTCAGATCCTTTTCAGCCAAATCCTCCAACACTTTCTCCGATCAAGGGCCAGGATTTGGTCACGTCCCTTAAAAGAAGATCTATGGCTCAAATGCTAAAAAATAAAAAATAAAAATAAGTTGAATTTGTTTCATTCAACATAGCTGTTGCTTCCCTCCCATTCACTTCAGTTTTTCCCTCCTTCTTTGAAACCCTGGTGAACGACGATCGGAGAAGTCGGCGGCGAACATCGATAGTCTCTCCCTCTCTCCTGCTGTCTTACTCTGAAGGTTTCAACCGCGATTTCAGTCGCCGATCTCTCCCTTTGTCTTAATCCAAACATTTCAGCTGCGAACCAAGCTCCGGCAACCTCACGAACCAGATCTGCACTTCATCAAACTGAAGGTAATATTTTTTTCCATTAATTTTTTTCCAAATAATCTGTCATGTTCAAACAATCTGCCATGTTCAAAGCTGCCATTTTTTAAACTTGTAGTTGATGTGTGTTTCCTATTCAAAGCAATTACGTTTGATAGTTTTCAATTTTCATTGTTTAATAGGCCCAAAATAAATAAATAAATAAAAATAATAATAAAAGCAAAGGGAGAATGAAAATGGTAAAGAAAAGACTAAAAACATTGGACTTGATTAGTTTGGCGTAGAATTTATGAATATACATACATACACACACACACACATATATATATATATATATAATGTAATCTATAATGTGGTTGTGCAAGATCATTTTCTAAAAACAGCATAAGTTGTTATTTGTTGGTTTTTATTAATTGGTTCCAAATAAATAAATAAAACACTTCAAAACTATATTATTGATGTTTC